GGGGGTTGATGAAAGGCTTCGGGGACACTGTCTGGAGCCCGGGTATACACTCTCCTGGCCTTTACACTTCTCTGAAGCCTCAGGGCCTGGCTCCTTGTCCTCCAAGGGGTGGGCCTTGCGGCCAGCTGCAAAAGCACCCCCACTTCCAGGACTCTCGGGAATGTGCTGGTCCTCTTCTGCTTTGTCAGGCAGACAGTGTGGGGAATAACAAGTCCCCAGCAACTGGGGGTTCAAACCAGCAGAGCCATCCTTCAAGGCCTTCTCCAGTCTCCTGACCTGTTTGAGCGCGGAGAGGTGGTCACTCTGAAAACGCAAGTCACTGGGCTTCAGCTCGACACCTCGGCGCTGGCTGGGCTCCGGCTGCCCATCACTCTGCCTCAGGCCTGGCCACCGGTCTGTGTCCTGACACGTGGTCTTTGCTGTCCTTCTGCTGTCATTTTCCAAGCTCTCTGTTTCAAGCCTCAACCCATTCTTTGTTCTGGTGACCTCGCTGCCTCTCCGCTCTACCCCGCAGGGTGGCAAGTAGTTCTCTTGGCCCTCCGTTGGCCTGGCAGGCTCAGGAGTAGGTGGCTCCTTCTTGCCTTCCCACTTGGATATCTTGTCCTTTATGCTGAGGGGCTCGGTCTCGGGTGGATGGCCCAGGCTTCTGGACGCTGCCAGGCTGCTTCTTCGAGGGCCTGCTGGCCTCTTTAGCACCGAGGTCTGCAGCCGGGCCATTGATGATCATACTGGAGCCGAGCATGTCCACTCTTGCCTCCAGCATGAGGTTGTGGGGGTTCCTTGGGGAGCTCCTTCCCAAGGGCAGTGCTGGATTAGACTCTCGAGAAGGAACAGATCTCCCAAGTGGCCGCCTTCCAAGAACTTCCCCAGCCTTTGAACCCTCTGCCTTGATCCTCCCCGCAGGCGGGTTCCTGGGCGCATATTGCTGATGCCCATGGCGGCGGCAGGGGGGGGGGCCTGGGGCGCCAAGGCCTGCTGCCCTCAGCGCCTTGGTCCACATGGCCTCCCCCGCTGCCACTAGCTCCTTGGGTCCCTTGCGGGCGTGCCTTTTATGCTAAATTTTACAAATGGCTCTTCCAATGGAAGAACTGCATATAGGGCTAATAAAAAAAATTGTGGAGCATAACAAGGGTCCTTCAAAGCAAATCATAAAAGTTGTAAGCAGATCCTGATGCAAACGGATCTGACATGATAAAACCAAGCTGACCTTTGCTAGGGCAAGGTGGAAAAAGCCCTTACAATGCATTATGAAAAAACCCGACCTATATATATTTGGGGTCGATGATATGTTTATGCTTTTTTCACAGAAAGAAAATAAAATCTGGACCTGGATGATGTTGAGGCTGCAGATGCCCCACAGAGGTCTTCCAGAGGCAACTGGGGAGAGGTCCTTGGTCCGGCCTTTCCTGCCCCCAAGGAGAGGAGTGCCTGATAACAGAACCTGCTGCTCCACTCTGCAGGGTGTCATACTGCCTCTAGAGAGTCAGGGAGACCCGGCTGAGATAAGTGCCAGGATGTGCTCCAGATAGCTGAATCCAGCTCACCTCACTCAGAAATCCCACCTGCCCTGGAGCACAAATGCTAAACTGCTTCTGCAGCTTGAATTCTGGTTTGCTTTGGAGCTAAGGTGCAGACTAAACAATTGTTTTAATCTTTGGGACACAAAACTCATTTTAATTTAAAATATTAACCCTTCTTCACTAAAGAAGGGTGAAGATTGGGGTTCCTGTCACTGTTGCTCAGAGACTGGAACTGGGTGCTGGAAACTGAAGTCAGGTCCTCTGCAATAGCAAAAGGCACTCTTAACTTCTGAGATGTCTCCCTAGTCCTGTGTAGATCATTTGTTCACTCTAGATTGACTTTTGTATCCTGCGATATACGTTTGTCTATATTCATATTTGTGCATGGGGAGGTCTGTTTGCCCCAAAATAAGACAGAAAGACAGGGCATTGAAGGGGATATGAGAGGGAACACACAGCCCCTCACCCTGTAATCATTTTTACATTTTTTTTGACATTCAAGAAACCTCAACTCAACTGATAGAGCCAAAATTACCTGCAGATATGATGCAATTATTCATAAAGACATCCCAAATAATGTTTAAAAATAACAACAAATAAACTAGAGTCTGGAGATAGGGTTCATTCTTTTATATCACTGGATGTCTTCCAGAGGATTCAGGGTTGATACCCAACACCTACCCGATGGTTCACAACTGTCTGTAACTCCAGTTCCGAGAGATCTCATAAAGTCTGGTACCCTCTGTGGGCTTTAGGTACTCACGTGGTGCACAGACTTCTCTGTGGAAAAGCATTCAAAAGCAGAAAATAAAAAACGCAGTTATGCTTTCTTAGGGGCAGAATACTTGTAGCCTTGAGATGGATGATGATAGCACTCTATTCTATCGCCTAAGTCACATAATCACCTTACAATTTAATTTACTGAAAGAAACTTTAAAAGGAATAAGCACATTTAAAAGCATTGCTTTTTAGTTTCATTTTTTACTTTTTAATTACCTATTGAATATTTTTTCCTAATGGAAAAATAGAACCCATTTAAAGAGTAAAAATATTCTTATAGTTAATTTAAAAACCTGAATATAGGCTTTAATGTAATTTAATCTTGAAATTTTTTGAATTACATTCTTTCAGCAATGTAACTTTAGAGCCATAAAAATCCTCCCATTTCTCCCTCTCCCACTGTACCTCCCTCCCTGCCCACCTCACATACCCTTTGCAATGCCACCTAATCTCAAGTCTCTCTCCAGTCCACTCTCAGGCCATCATGCAGGAGCCATCCTTATTCTGTGTGAGCTTCTATCCACAGGATTAATAAGCTCACAACCTTTGCTTCATCCTGGCTGTTTCTGAAATTCTTTACTGCATCCTAGATTCATCTTTACCAGGGTCAAGGTCATCAAAGGGACAGGGTTATCCTCAGGCTGCTGGTCACTGTGCTGGGCTGTACCTCCCTACCACCACCAAGAGTCCCAGAAAACCTCGTGAAGAGCATATGTTTTGTTCACTGAAGTGTCTTTGTGTCTTTGCTAAAGGTGTCCCCTACACATGTGTGACTCTTCTGTCCCCTTCATATTCTTTTCTGTCTTATTGTCATTTCCAATCAGGCACACTGTCTACATTTCTCTATGTTTATAAGGAGTCTGGAAATCATGTGTTCATCCTCCAAGTTTGTTCCTTTATAAGGTTGTTTCAAGCTGGGGTTTTTCATATTCACTGTGAGTTTCAGATTAAGCCCATTAGTTTATGAAAAGTCTGTTAGAGTTCTGTTGGTATTGCACTGGATCTATAGGACTGTATGAGGAGAACAGACACCTGTATATTCCATCACATGAAGATGATTGTAGCGTGAGTTCTAATTGGTCTTAATAATAAAATCTGGAGTCAGATATTAAGTGGTTGGAGCTATAAGATCAGAACAGCAGAGCAGCCAGACACTAGTTCTTTCCTCAACAAAACCCTCAGACCAAATGGAGCATCCTGTCTCTACAAGACCTCAGACTGACTGCCTGGATCTCCTATCTCCTCCCACCTTATATTCCTCTCTTTTCCCAGCCACATTCCTTTCATTCTCCATCTCCCTCGTGCTGGGATTAAAGGTGTGTGACACCAAAGCACTTTGATGAAAGATGTGAGTCACCACTGCCTGACTCTGTTTCTCTTTTAGACTGGATCAATCTAATGTAGCCCAGGATGGCCTTGAACTCACAGAGTTCTGTTTCTTAAGTGTTGGGAAAGGTGAGTTCCAACACTGCCTGTCTTCTGTGGCTAACTAGTGGCTATCTGCACACACTGATTCTCAGGCAAGCTTTATTGTCATGGAAGAAACAAAATATCGCCACAGTCGATGAATCTATACATCTTTACTCTCAGCAATGAGTTGTCCCATTCAGTGTCTAGGCACTACAGAGAAGTGGGCAGAGTTTTCCTAATTATTTCATATTTCCTGATGCTATCTCCAGTGACAGGGATTTTAAATTACAGCTTCCACACATTCATTTCACTGTGGTCAGCTGTCTGTGTTAAATTTAGACAGAGTTATTGATGAATCTTTTAGGTTAAAATATTTAATTACATTCTCTATGATGAAAATGTCTTTGGTGCTAACATATATTTGCTGTGTTTAAAATTTAGTACTTTGAATTTGCAAGTGAATTATGAGAACAGAAACAAATGTCCAACACCCAGTTTGGGGGAAAATTTCTAAGGCAGCCACAGGTCAAAGGTTTGCCCCAATGGCATCTTTGGAATCATAGAGATAGTCCTTTACCTCCCAGCTAGCTCCATCAGGGAGGTGCTGAGATCACGGTGGAAAGAAGGGGATACATGTGAAGAGTTAGGTATGTATGTGTAACTCCAGAAAGGTTTGTATTATGAAGAATACTTAGGTAATTATTTTCAAAATATCTAATATTATTTTCCCCAACACAAAAAGGAAAAGGTTAGTACTCGTGTGTTTTCCCTCTTGTTTTCCCATCCAGTCATGCAGATTTTAGCAGTGTTGCTGTGGACTTGTACAGAGGGGGTGTTTTATGTATGGTTCTTTCCATGTTTATTATAACCATGACGCCTGCTAAGTGTTGCTCTGATACCTACTTCCCTGTGCAGTTACTAGTATACAAGCATTGCTTGTCTTTGAGTAAAGTTTCCCTTTTATCTTTTGTTTATTAATGGATTTACTCATGCGTTTGTGTCTACTAAGAAACACCCATTTCTTAAAGGAGTACTCCTTTGTCATCATTATATACTGTGATGCTTAAATTATCCCATAACATGCCCGTGGGAGTACATTCAAGTGGACCTGCTCTTCATTTGTTATCTGTCCAGAATTCTGGATTATCTGACCACCCCTGGGAAGAAAGCCAAAAGCAAATGCTTCTTGTCAGTGATACTTTGTGTCCTCTGTCTATCAATGTCAGGTCTCTTCTATGAGAAGAACAGCAGACCTGCAGAGAGAACACGCAGAATGTTGACAAGAAGCTGACATGAGCCCTTGTTTCCAGTATGTGAGTCATCATTGCCACCAATGTGAGTGTGTGTGTGTGTGTGTGTGTGTGTGTGTGTGTGTGTGTGTGTGTGTGTGTGATGTGTACATGGGTGTGTATAAAGGGTCTGTGAAATGAACAAAGAAGAGGAAGATGTCACTGCACATCTTTGACTTGACTGGATGCAGACAGACTACTCCATCCTTATATTCAGTACAGTAGAGTGACAAGATCATGTGGGACTCACCAGGTGAGTCATTTCCTTTTCTCTTCCCGTCTGTGTGACCAGCAGCTGGTCTGTAATGCCTTGTAGGAACACATCCTGTTGAGCAGGTCGCAGCAAAGAGCAGCACACTGTGAAACAATGGCATTCATAGACTCCCCAGATGACTGAACCCTGTAGGGGTCCCTTTAAATGACCAGGACTGAAATGGAAGCAATCCCCATCAGACCATTTCCCCGAATGGGCCATGCATGACTGCATCACATTTGGAGGGATTGCTTATTAAGATGGTAGAAATCTGGATCCACAACAGACACTGAATCATGCTTATTAAAATGGTAGATATCTGGGTCCACAGCAGACACTGAATCAATACCTGTGATGTGGGGGGTGGCATAGCCACTTCTTTCTGATGGCTGTCCATGTTAAAACGTATTGCTAGTGTGTTTGATATTCTGTCTTCCAGGATATGAAGTCACAGACTGCTTAAGTCCATGCCATGTTCTCTTGTTACTGCCTTAAATACCAGTGTGTTGCATGGCATATCAAATAGACAAATCAATTCCTTCGTGTACGTTTATCCAGATATTCACATAGTGGCCTCTTTAGTGAACACCTTGTTCCTGCACTGTGAAGACTAGCACGGGTCCTTGTATATCGTGTTAGATAGGCAAACTGTCAGTAAGCAGAAGAAATCAGTAATCACAGCAATTCCGTGTATTATTGGCGCTTTAAAGATCATAAAGGGGACAGGAAATAGTTGTGATGGGGATTGTCGTATGTGATGTTACCCCCAAAGGTTTCAGAAGTTAGCATGTGATCTGAGTCCTGAATGGCAAATAGAAGCAAGACCGTGCACAAACCAAGTTGTGGGCGTGCTTGCTTCCATGGAGAACAGTGGATCTAAGAGCAGAGAACAAGGCTAGTTGCCAGAACCTTGAAGACAACGTGGACACTGCTTGGGGATAGGACAGAAAGGAAAATGTTGTCATTGTCAGCTGTGTATGACATTTGGATTATATGATCTGTGTGGAAGGTGAGTTATGGAATTGTCATGATATGTTTCCTTTTGGTAGAAGGTGACTTGGCACTGAACAGAGAAAGGCCTGGGGAGGGCGGGATGAGGTAGTGTGTGGAGACAGTGGAGATGGTTCCGAAGACAGGGGAGGGATGGAGGTATGAAAGAGGGATGAAGCCATGCTGCAGTGATCAGCAGGAGAGCTGCCCTGTGCAGCCTTGTCTGGGAGAGGGCAGATAGCACCTGGATGCGCTGTGCATTTTCCTTGTGGAGACATTGCTCTAACATCTCTGGATTTGTCTGACCACATGGAGACACGGTGCTTCCATTTACTGACATCAGTTATTCCACGTGTATTGACACAGGATAGTTTGAATACCCAAACTAGTCATTGTAAAACTTAACAATTTGATAACGAGTTGCTGATGAATAATTTTCAGATGTAAAGTTTTCTAAGTACAGCTAACTGTAGCATAATTTCCAACAGAATAAGAATCTAACATTTGTCTCTTAAAAAGTGAACCCAAAATTCAGTGTATTTTTGAAAATGGCTGTTCTACAGCATGTACTGCTCTTGGCAGGTTTACAGATGAAGGAAGTGAGTAGGTTTTAGGCAGAGTTGAAGTGAAATCAGTCTCTAAATTCTGCAGCAACTGTTTGTCCCTATTTCTCCAGAAGAAGACTGCCTTTAGAAATGCTTATTTTTGACAGCTGGGCATGGAGCAAACATTCACAAGACAGAGGCAGTTGGATGTCTGAGTTCAAGGCCAGCCTGTAATTCCAATTGCATATATCAACATTAGTCTGTCACATATGCAGGAACTTGTGACTGGTATTTAAAGCAGGTATTATCACTAAAGACCCCCAACTTAGCACATGAGCAGTGTGATGCTCTCAATTCACAGAGTGGGAAGCACAGCTCAGAGCAGAGGGTCTCACTCTGTTTTCTCCTCACAGAAATTCCCAGCCTGTGTTTGGAAAATGGGTCCAGGACATCCTGGCTCAGGGAACCAAAGTTGCTGGGGCTAGGAAGGTCCCACATCTCTCTGACTCTAGAAAAGTGGTTCAACCTGTGACTTGACCCCTTCAGCAAACGTCTATCTCCAAAACTATTTCCATTGTGATTCTTACCTGTAACAACTTTACAGCGATGATGAAGCAACAGAAATAATTTTCTGGTTGGGATCACCACGCATGAGGGACTGTATTAAGAGTCACGTCACAGCATAGGAAGGCTGAGAACCACTGCTGTACAGACATCCAAACACAGAATCCGGCTTCTCAGATATGTCTGGGATCCCTTCATCATTGTCCCCATACTCCTAGAGAGGCACAGCCCCACATCAGGACACCCACACTCACATCTCCGTGCAAGGGAAATCCTGTTCTTCTTTCTCCGTCATTTCTATTTCCACACACTAAGCTATATTTCCAAATTTTCTTTTTTTATGTCTTCAGCACTGAGCTTAAGGATGTGTCTGATTCTTTGACCAACCTTTTTCCTGTTTTGTGATTCTTCTGCAGGGTCTGGGTCGTTGGCTGTGCACACACATCCACAGACAGTACAACAACAGCCTCTAGTCCCTTGTTGCTGACCTTTGGGAAGCTGGGCATGTAAGGTAGGTTTGCTGGCAGGAGACTTGCTCTCGGGAACAGGATGTCCTTGCCAGAGGCTGGACTCGAGGATGCTACAGCACTTAGATCTGCCCAGCATCTGACGGCCCTGTCCCAAGCTCTTCACAAATGTGGTGGGAGCACATTTGGGGATTTTTAAAAGTGGTCCCTAGATACTGCTATTGCTCCCCTGGCTGTGCACACATTCCCAGCTATATTCTTGATTTCTCTGGTAGCTGTTCAATGAGAATGCTATACCATGAAAAGAAATCACTGGTGAATTTAAAAAGCCACAGTATGGGGACTGGCGACATAGCTCTCGTGGCAGAATGATTGCCTAGAATGGAAATTGCTCTGTGTTCTTTGACCCTCTGGGCATGTTCACCCTCACCTGTAATACCAGCACTCAAGGCGTAGAGGGAGGAGGAAAGAGACAAGAGAGTCATTACTGTTTATGAGAGTATGGCTCCCAGCCCCCATGGCAGATAGCTCACAACTGCCTTTAACTCTAGCCCCATCAGGAGTCAATGCCTCTGCCAATCATGTGCATACCACAGACAGACAGACAGACATAATTAAAAGTATAACTAAAATCTAAACAAGAAAAAAAAAGAAGCATCAACTCCAGGTCATTGACCAAGGGGAAAACACAGTGGAATTTAAAATATGAACATTATAAAGGCTAACGAAATCTAACAGTCTACAGTCTGGCAGGGGAGATGACTCAGTGGTTCAGAGTGCATTCTATTGTTGCTGAGGATCCAAGGTAGTTTCCAGCATCCATTTCCAACATCCTTGAAGGACCATACCTCAGCTCCAGGAAGGTATGACCTCTCCTGACCTTTGGAGGCACAGGAATTCATGTGTACATACACATAGGAATATACACAACGTAATTATTATTAAGTTATGTACATTTTAAAATTATGTACAAATTAAAATAATTGTTGTGAAACAATGAAGAAAAATGGTCAAATGCCAGGCAGTAATGCGAACAGTTTTCATCAGCGTTAGGTGGCAAATGCGTGCACTTCCAACTATTTGAACACTGGGGTTACACGATCGATCATTAGTGCTAAAAAGTTTCAGAACAGCCTGAATAGCATAGAGAGGCCCTAACTAACAATGAAAACCAAGCAAAAACCTAAAATATCTCGTCAATGCTAAATTTCCTAAAATAGCAATCTTAGAATTCATGGTTTTTCAAAAGATGTGGATCATTATAAAATAAATTTTTGCAGGGAAATCAATGATAAAATTACTTATTTCGTGGGAATTCAACCATATACATGTAGAAATGGAATGAAAATGTTACTGGGCCGAGAAGAAAACAGTAGCATTAAGAATGTGTTTACATTAAAATGAATACTTGAGCTGGGGCAGTGTGCTAAGCTTGGAAGACCAGCAGCACTCTGAAGGCTGAGGGAGGAAGGGCAAGAGTCCCAGGCTGGGCTGGGCTGCTCTGAGACTCTGCACTAAACACACAAAGTAGTTAGCAGGACTATTATCATTCCATTCACTGTTGTAAAGTTTCAGCTTAGTTCTGGCATGGGAAGCCATCCTCTTTCCCCGGATATGAGGCACAGCAATGTACGCCCCTGGCCCAGACATTTTAAAGATTACCATCCCCTAAATGGGAAGGCAACTTCCTCACCACCACATACAGCAAGGCGTATAGAAAATGGTGGCTTGGACTGTACTCAGATTGCTCACTCTCAGGAGATTTCCCTGCAGACAGCCCTGTGCCTTAGGGGTAGGAATCAGCCCAGCGACAGACACATTTCCTTATGCTACTATATGTGCTTTCCTGTGGTGTTTCAAATTTCGTATCCAGGAAGGAAAGTACTTTAAAGTGTAAACTGAGAAAAATGCTTGTGCTCGGGTGGTAAAAGTGGGGCTGGGGAGACAGCTAAATCAATAAATTGCTGGCCTTGTGGGCATGAGGCCCTGAGTGTCATTCACAGAGAGCATCATCAAGAAAATGAAGATAAACTACAGCAGGAAAAGTAGTAGATGTGGTGGGACATGCTTGTGTGTGAAGGTGGAGGCAAGCCTATCCCTGGAATGTGCTGCCCAGCCAACCCAGCCTGCCTTGCTTGTTCCAGGCCAGTTGGAAACCTTGTCTAAGAAAAACTTCAGGGGGATGGCACCTGAGGTACAACACCGGAGGCTGACTTCTGTCCCCTGACCTCACGCGCGCGCACACACACAAACACACACACACACAATTGCTCACGCACTCACAGGCATGCACGAACCCACAATCGCACTTTGGATAAAGGATTATACACCTTCCATACTTCAGGAGAAGTAGTCATTTTGTTCAGTTTCTGGAGCAGTAAGGACGAATGTAATCTATTTTGATGCTGTGTGCATGCCTCTGTGTGTGTGTGTGTGTGGTGTGTGTGTGTGTGTGTGTGTGTGTGTGTGTGTGTGTGTTTACACACAGAGCTCCACCATCTCTATCTAATGAGGCTGCTTTATCTTAGCCTTAGACTGGGATTGGTCTCCAATCTCGGGTTTACATTTGATATACCTAAGATGTCAAGTATTATGTGACAGGAAATCATAATGAGGTGAAAAAACACTGCCTTATCTTCAGAGGTATGGTCCCTTCAAGTCCAGGTCACAGTCAATGTTCCCTCCCATCCAAACATAGACTCCACTGGGCCCAAGACTCTCACTGATGTAGTTCCCACTAAGGCCAGGAGGTGGCATTCAAACTACATGCCTACATTTATTTTCTTTAAAAGGGCTGATGTTTTATGGAATAGCAATGCGTTTTTAGTGTGTTTGGAAAGCTGGCACACGTATAGAGCAGTTCCATTTATGGATTGCAGCAACTGTAGTGCTCCACAACTCACTTCATCCTCCCTAAGTGTAAAGTGGTCAGTGCACAAGGGATACAGAGTGGTGCTCTGTAGAGAATATGAATGTGGTGGGCACCTTGAATCCCCTGACTCTGGGATGGATGGATTTCCTAGACTTTCCATCCCCTCTCCAGGAGGCTGTGGTACAGTCCCCAGATCGCTGCCTGCCAGGCAAGTTGTATCCTGGTCAGTCACTGCAATTGTGTTGCACCATGCCTGCTGGGGACTTCCAAGAGCAACCTGGTATTTGTGGTGTGGTAGCCAAGTATGTTTCCATGGTGTTTGTGGTGTGGTTGCCATGTATTTTTCTATGAATATGCTCTGCATATGACTCAGATGTAATATGTATTCACCCTTACGATGTAGAACAAACTTGGGGTCCCTTCTCTATTGCAGGGAGATCTCCAAAGTATTTCCTTTACCTCACCATCATTTTGGAGCCACTAATTTGATATTGAAATAGAAATTATCCTCTGTGCCCTACAAGAAGAGATAACACAGAAGAAAAGAGGCAGGAACTGCAAGTCCCTTGACAGCCACAGGACATTGACTGAGCTACTGTTCTATTGCTGGGAAAAGGCGCTGTGCTGAAGGGAATTTACAGAACAAAGCATTAAATTGGGAGCTTGCTTTCAGTGTCAGAGGGTTAGTCCAGTACCATCACTGTGGGCAGCATGGCAGCAGCCAGCCTGGCAGGACACCGTAGCAGTAACTGAGAGTTTACATCCTGATCACAGGCAGGAGGCAGAGGTCTTTTATTTTTTTTTATTTTTTTTTTTTATTGAGAAAAGAAAAAAAAACAAATTTCCTCCTCCTCCCAGTCTCCCATTTCCCTACCCCTCCTCCCACCCTTCTCCCCCTCCTCCCACCCTTATCCCCCTCCTCCCACTCCTCTCCCTGTCCCTCTCAAGCCCAAAGAGCAGTCAGATTTCCCTGCCCTGTGGTAAGTCCTAGGTCCTCCCCCCTCCGTCCATTTCTAGGAAGGTGAACATCCAAACTGGCTAGGCTCCCACAAAGCCAGCACATTACGTAGGTTCAAAACCCCGTTCAAAAACCCATTGTCCTTGGGTTCTCATCAGCCCTCATTGTTCGCCATGCTCAGAGAGTCCAGTTTTATCCCATGCTTTTTCAGTCACAGTCCAGCTGGTCTTGGTGAGCTCCCAGTAGATCAGCTCCACTGTCTCAGTGGGTGGGTGCTCCCCTCGTGGTCCCGACTTCTTTGCTCATGTTCTCCCTCCTTCTGCTCCTCATCGGGACCTTGGGAGCTCAGTCCAGTGCTCCAGTGTGGGTCTCTGTCTCTGTCTCCATCCATCACCAGATGAAGGTTCTATGATGATATGCAAGATATTCGTCAGTATTGCTATAGGATAGGGTCATTTCAGGTTCCTCATCCTCAGCTGCCCAAGGAACTAACTGGGGACCTCGGCTTGGGCATCTGGGAGCCACTCTAGGTTCAAGTCTCTTGCCAACCCTAAGGTGGCTCCCTTAACTAAGAACCGTGCTTCCGTGCTCCCCCATCCAACCTTCCTTCATCCCAATCCTCCCCCTTCCCCAAGCTCCCCCATTCTCCCCCTATCCCCCTCTCTCCCCATCTCCCTTTACCCCCATCCCACCCCACCCCCAAGATCTCAATTTTCTCCCCGGCAATTTTGTCTACTTCCCATAGCCAAGAGGACATCTATATGCTTTTCCTTTGGTTCACCTTCTTACTTAGCTTCTTTGGTATCACCAATTGTAGACTCCGTGACCCTTGTTTATGGCTAGAAACCAATTATGAGTGAGTACATCCCATGTTCATCTTTTTGGGTCTGGGTTACCTCACTCAGGATAGTGTTTTCTATTTCCATCCATTTGCATGCAAAATTTGAGAAGTCATTGTTTTTTACCGCAGCATAGTACTCTAATGTGTAGATATTCCACACTTTCTTCATCCATTCTTCCATTGAAGGGCATCTAGGTTTTCCAGGTTCTGGCTATTACAAATAATACTGCTATAAACATAGTTGAACAAATGCTCTTGTCATATGATAGGGCATCTCTTGGGTATATTCCCAGGAGTGGTATTGCTGGGTCCAGGGGTAAGTTGATCCCGAATTTCCTGAGAAACCGAAACACCGATTTCCAAAGTGGTTGCACAAGATTGCATTCCCACCAGCAATGGATGAGGGTTCCCCTTGGAGGCAGAGTTCTTTTGAGTCATCAGAACTCACACCCAGTGACACGCCTTGTCCAAAAAGGACACACATCCTAATCTTTCTTAAATTATTCACCACTGAAACATTAACCATAGGAGCTTACGGGGACCATCCTCATTCAAACTACCACTGTCATGTAAGGGATTTCCTCTGCCCCATCAGCAGCTGCAGAGGGAGAATTGGGGCTGGTTGAATACTCATAAGTGCCTTGACTGGAATCTGTTCCAAGATGTCAGTCATTAATACAAGAGACTACTGTGGGACATTTGGGCAGAGCAGGAGGCCATTCCAGTTACTTGTCTAAAATAATGTGCTCTTCAGAAGACAGTAGTCCCCTTTTGGCCCTCTTCATGGACAAACCTGTGTATACTAAAACTGTAAAGACCTTGAGCACACAGGAATTTATGAAACACCATCTGTCTTGGTCACTGTTCTATTGCTGTGAAGAGACACCATGAGCAAGGCCACTCTTATCAAAGAAAGCATTCACGTGCCTTGCTTATAGTTTCTGAGGTTGGTCTGTTACCATCACGGCAGGGAGCATGGTGGCACACAGGCAGACATGGTGTTGGAGAAGTAGCTGAGAGTTCTATTACCTGATCCACAGGGAGAGAGAGGCTGACACTGGGCCTGACATGGGATTTTGAAATTCAAAGCCCACCCCCAGTGGCACACTTCCTTCAATGATGCCACATCTACTCCAACAAGGACACCACATCATCTAAGCCTTCTCAAAGAGTGCCCCTCCTTGGAGACTAAGCATTCAGATACATGAGCCTATGGGGACCATTCTTATTCAAACCTCCACACCACCTCCAGACTCCAAGAGATTTGAGCTCTGTGTTTGCCAGGCGCATATCCCTGGGATGGTCTATGCTGTAAAGCTTCCCTTTTATCCCACATTGATGCTTCCCCAATTTTCTGCAAAGAGGATGTGGGAAATTTCTCTCTTTTTTAGCATAAGGTGACCTTCTCCCAACTTTGTGCTCTTATAGGGGTAGCATAAACACAACTTGGCCAGTAAGGTTTCCCTTCCAATTCTGCAGTTGCTTCTAAGATACAGTCTGAGTCATTATACCAGGATATCAGATGTGCACATAGCCAGAGTTTTGTGGAACTCATCAATTTCTCAGACATGCACAGACAGGTGTTCTCTTCGGGTGCTTAGCTGACTTGGGGCAAATGAAAACATCGTGCAACTAACTAAAACGGGAAACTCGGAGATTTGAATTGTCAAGATGCTTGAAGAAGCAGGCCCACTGGTAAAAGGAAGTGTCCTTTAGTCATTTCTTGTGAGTGGGCACAAATATCCACAGGGGAATTTCCTTTTGTAAGAAGCAGCTATAGAATGAGATGGTGGCGCATGCAGACAGGCTACCACCATAATGAATTCCTAATGCACTGAAGTAAGTTAACTATGTACGCCACCGTTGGGGAGCTGGAGAGATAGATGGTCCATGGCGAGAAAAATAATCTGTTAAAATTGGAGGCAAGTGGCTGGGCAGTGGTGGCGCACACCTTTAATCCCAACACTCGGGAGGTAGAGGCAGGTGGATCTCTGTGAGCTCAAGGCCAGCCTGGTCTACAAGAGCTAGTTCCAGGAGGGCTCCAAAACTACAGAGACACCCCGTCTCAACCCCACCCTCCAGTGGAGGCAGGTAACATCTGATGATTCATGTCAGAATGGCAGGATCACAAGCCGTCTAGACAGTTGGTCTATAGCCATGAGAACTGGGGCGGCTGTCGGGGATTCAAGGATCCATGCATTCCGGGTAACAGAAAAATCAGTACGCTCTGGTTGGTGGCATCTTCTGGACATAATAGGAAAGCTTTTGAGAAATTACATTTCCAGTGATTATCTCTCAAATGAGCAGAGGGATTTTTACAGAATTGCAATCCTTCACATACTATATGGTACATAGAAGGACCTTACCCTAACCCTAACCTTAACCCTTGGGGAGCTGAGGCAGTAGATGGTTCATTGGTTAGGAGCGATACTTGCTTCCCCAGAGGACCTGAATTCAAATCCCAGCACCGATGACAGGAAGCTCAAACCATGTGCAACTCCAGCCTCCGGGATCCAACACTGCTGGACACTGACATTCACATACATAGCCCTCCTCCCCAGGATTAAAGTAAATCTAAAGGCAAAGACAACCAATGAAAATTGGGAAAAGTTTTTCCCTGTCCTGTTATATTTTGAGGAAAAGTTTTGTTTCTGTTCATTAACAACAACAACAAAAAAAGCATTTAAAAAATTTTGAAAGATGCCATTTCATGGTGATAAAATAATCTGTTAAAAATGGAGTCAGGAGACATCTCCTGATCCATGTGGGAACAACAGGACTGTTTCCTATCACATACCCCAATCCAGAGCCCCTGCACATACAAACTCACTGTCTCTATTACGCTCCCACACTACTGGTGGGTATTTTCCACTGTAAACATAGTGAGGCCTGCTACCACATAGCTCAGGGAAGTACATGAATTCCAGAGCTTTCTGACATTTTTTAGAGGGCTGGACTCCAAGCCCGCCTGTCACCTGGTGTGGAAGGAATACTGAAGGTTCCTGCCATGTTTTCCCCCTGTTTTTTCTTAATCTCATCTGCTGCTTCCTCTTGTGGAGGTTGTGTGGCAAGAGAGGCTGCTCATCTCAGCAACTGGGAGGACCAGACTCTTCCCATTTCTGCGGCCACCTGGACACTTACCTCACCCTGAAAGAGAAGGGATGGAAGGAACATTGTGAAACACCGCCTCAGGGTCAGGGTTCCCGAAGGAAAGGCTCTAGGGAAACTGGGAACATGGTCACCTCTGCCCTGAGCAGTGTGGACAGCGGGAGAAGAGGGACTGCTTCCTTAAGCAGTAGAAAAATTCATAGCTTTAACAAGAATTTATTGTATATATTTATTGTGCTGGGATGTAGTGTGTTCAAGATCAGAGGACAATTTACAGGAGTTGGCTCTTTTCTTCCACCAAGTAGCTTCCAGGCCTCAAACTCGTTGGGCTGGGCTGTAAGCACCTTTGCCTGGTGAGCCAACAGATGGGCCAAGAATTCCACAGTCTTGGTTCTTCCGTGTCCATGTACCAACCCTGCCATAAAAGAATGCATGTATGTTTCCAATTGGCCAAAATATGCAAGTCACACAATTTTAGTAGATGTTGTCTATATTCTTCTAGTGTTAGAAAGTAGAATTGCTTTTTATTTTCTCTAATTTCCATGTGTGTTCCATAGTTTACATTGATGCCCCAACATATGTCTTGGGCTAATTCTGGACTTCATACTCTAGAAGGGAAAGCTTAATGACTGAGATGTCTCTATGCTACACCCATTTAAATGGAAAATGTGACAGAAGAAAAGGCCATACATTGCTGGAGGAGAAATTCCATGTACTCCCTATGTAGAAAAACTAGGCAGTGTTGACCAACAGTCAGATGTGAAGCTTCCACAGCTACCGCAGTCCCAGGTACTAAGGGGAGAGACTCAGACATGATGTACACGCGAGAGAACATGCACAAGAATGGTC